TAATATATAATTATAAGATATTTATTAAAAAAATCAATTCAGAAGAAATAATTTTAAATTAAGTAGGGGAGTCTTAAAAATATTTTTAAAATAATTTTAAAATACAAAATAATCTCAAGCTAGTGTGGCAGTCAAATTTGCTCTTACTCCCCAATTAATATCCCTAAATTTTCTTCACCCACGGACCCACCCGTCGAGTATGAGTACCCCAAATTAGAATCTGAAACAAAATGATTACTAACGTAACATACCTTTCCAACGCGAAATCCCGAAACAAATTGTGCACCACTGAACAGAATCTGAAGCAAAATGAATTCTACTTGGTGGTAAACAAAAAGAACACACCTTTTCTTCATTTCTACCTCTGTAGCTTGATGATGCTCCACGTGTTTTAATCATTTGTAGATTACGTAATTGATATTCTGACAGTACGCTAAAGTTTTCTTCTACATTTTTTTTTTTTATCAGCAAAACAAAGTGAAATCATATTATTGTAGGAGTATAAGAAATACTCCTTCATAACAGTACACTGTCTAACCGAAATACATTAAGTAATTTCACATCTTAATTTGGTAATTGTTACTTAGCAAAGTCTTATGATTCGGTGAGAAGCCCTAAGTTACTTGAATAATCACCTATTAATTGTTAAAGAACATTCTATTTAGGGTATCAGGTTTCAAATTCAATCCCATTCAACCCCCTTCTTCCTAATTTCTCATGTTAAAAAAAAAAAGGCCTTTTGATTTGGTACATTAAAGCCTTGTGATAGTCACACACTCATTAATATTCCTTCGATTGCTTCATGAATTTTGAGAAAACTACTGGTGCTCTGAGTAACCATTTTATCGGTTAAGATCCATGATCCATTATTGGTCATCAAATATATATACCTTAATTTAATATTGGCACATGCATATCTAAGAATAGATTGTCTATATCTGCACCGCTATGCCTTTGGAATATTTTTTTTTTTTACAGCAAAAGTAGAATATATTAAATAAAATATAAAAGGTACTCTGTCTTATTACAATAGTAATTATACAATCAGTACTTCCATCGTATAATAACTTTAAAGCCCCACCCAATCACCCTTCTTTAAAGAGACGAAATATGCAGAGAGTAGTGATTCCTCCTTTGTACAAACAGATTACGTGCTTTGTTTCCCTTTCAAAAAGAATACAAGTCCACTCATCCACTCATAAAAGTTAAAAGAATAGCCGTTAGCCCTATCTTTTATTCAGGGGTGGAGCCAGAATTTTTTTTCAGTAGCGACGAGATAATTTTTTATATATTAATTTACAAAATTTTTAAATTTTAAGGGGACGAAATAATTTTTCATATATTAATTTACAAAAATTTTCAAATTTTAGGAGAGGCAAGCGTCCCCCCTCGCACCCCCCTCCGTCCGCCACTGCTTTTATCCAATGGAATGACAGCATTATGCCTTCGGTTTAATAATAACATATGATGTAGAACTATGGTATATTAATATTTTGTAATTGTTTTGCTAAATTAAATTATGTTTTACTATTATATTTGGTTCATATGTACATGTAAAAGGGATATAATTTCTTTTTATTATATGGTTTTAGTGCAGGATACATGTATATAATTGAGCTACTGATCCAGCATGTGTTTAATTGTATGCAAATTGGTTTTACTTGGGTGATTGTCACTAGCCCAAAAAAAAAAAAAAATTGTTTTCAACTATTCTTTCAAAGATGAATGTGATTCATGTATATGTGCAAATCAGAAAATTGTTTCGATTAAATATGCATATATTTTGAAAAGGTTTCTTATTTTGAATTCTTTGACTCACTGGCTTTGAATTAATTTGTTAACAGCTGAGTATTTTAAACTAAGATGGCATATAATATAATTGATAGTATATTATTATGACTAAGAATCAATTGATTGCCATGGATTGATCTATTAGATAGATATGTCTATAAAATTATTTTTCTCTCAATCAAGTTTAATATCAAGTGTTGGGAGATAGAAAACAACTTTTGGAAGATGTTTTCTAAAGGCCTTCCATTACTATAAATAATGGCAATGGTTCTTGATGATTAATTGAAGCCAAAGGGATAAGATTTTTCTTTGACCATCATTGTTGTTATTTAATTCATAGTGATGAATGATATGTCATGGCTAATGGGAGTATCAACTAAAATTGGGTGCTTTCACAGTATCAACTCCACTACATGACCATGCCATGATAATGATAGGCTACATAAATGAGCTGGAATTACTTGGGTTTGAAATGAACAATCAAACTAAAATAGATGTGATCTTATCTTCACTATCAAATTCATTTAATCAATTTATTTTAAATTTTAATATGAATAAAATGGTCATGAGACTTTTTGAGATTCGAAAAAAAGGGAGAAGGAGGAAAGTCCGATCAGTCTAACTTCAAAAAGATGAATACGAAAAAATTCAAAACAAAATCAAGAAGATATTACTAAATGAGAAACGAGAGAAAAATCACGCTTGTCACTTCCGTGGAAAAAAAGGTCCGAGGAAATTCGAAAAGTTTAAGAAAAGTGGTTTGACCCTCAACAAAACGGAGTTTGGGAAGCCACATGAAAAGCATCTTCTCATTTATTGGCAACAACTTATCTCTCACGTACCATTAAACAAAGGTGAACGTGTAAGATTGTTAAAAAAAAGGGTGGACACTTGAAAAGTGATTGTTAGAAATAAAAGCTGGACACTTGAAAAGTCAATGGAAAAGGAAATTGTTACCAATAAATCAGAAGATGCTTTTCATGTGGCTTCCCAAACTCACTTTGTTGAGGGTCCACTCTATCACACGTCCTCTAATTATGCTTATTGGAAAAAAAAAAAAAAACATATGAAAAGTAGGATTAAAGCCAATTACACAGATGTATGGGGCATAATTAAAAATGGACCTTTTGCACCTTCAAAGTTTAATGGAACTAAGATTTTTAAGAAGAACAATTGATGAAAGCATAAAAATGTATACTTAAAGTGTATTTAACAATCAATATTTGTGGAATTATTAGGTTAAGAGTTGTATTTTTTTACAAATAATTTTATAAGTGTTTATTCTATTCATGTTGTGCAAATTTTTGATAATTGAAGATTTGATAATTAAATGGAGAGAATTAAAAGAAAAAGACTTAGATACAAAGAGCTAGAAACATGAGGGTCCAAGGATCAAATTTGAAAGTTTAAAGATTCGAGTGAGATTTTCTTCATTTTTGACAAAGGAGCAAAGTATGTGAAGTTTGAAGTGTAAACCCTTGACCAACGCAAAATGAGGGATAGTAGTTCCACACCCTATTTCTAGGTTCCAACCCCTAGTCAGCATATGCATAGTGGACAAAAACATTCAGGGTTTTTGCACCTTGACTAGAGATTTCAACGCCTGTCTAACAAAAATGTGTGGGGAGAAAGAAAAAAATAAAATTAATTCTTTAGAGCTACTATTGTAGTTACCCAATATTCCAATTTTATTCCTAATATAAATAAAAGTCTTTAAAACTAGATTTAGGATCTCGGAAGGTCATTCCTAGGCTTGTATTTTCTTCTTTTCTACTACTAGAAAATCATGTCAAAGCATAACTAAACTTTCAATAAGATTAGGGAAGATTTTAATTGAGGAGTTTGATTTGTTATTTTATTTTAATTCCTTCATTAGATTTTATTATTTAATTTTATTTTTAACAGATTATTAATTATATGTTTTAGATTTGAAAACTCTAGAAGTCATATTCATCAAATTTCATATAAGATTAGTCATGCTCTTTTTATGTGTAATTTGTTAGAAGATAATTAATTGATTGATTTGTTTTATGAGTTGATCATTTACTGCAGTATTGTCGATTAGATATATTATTGCTTTCGATAATTCGTAATGATAGATCAAATTGTTCTTCATTGAAATTAATTTTTTTCAAAATAAATACATTAATTATTATTATTGTTCTTCAAAGTTATATCTTCTAATATTTGTTTAGGATGTGAAACAT